GTCATTCACCTCTTGGGTTAGATTTGAAAGGGAAATTCAGGATAAGCAAATTAGATTTAGAAAGGATTGGGCATGGATAAGAAAACATTTCTGATATTTATTGAAATGTTTTGAAATTTGGGATCAATATGGGTCTTCAGAACTACCAGAAAGGACCTCTGACCCCAGGATATGCAACCAGGCCAAGAAACTAAGAACTCTTTGGCGATGTCCTGAAAAGGGGTGACTTCCAGAATGGCCATCAGTCAGTCACACGGGAAGCCTTATGCCGGTCCTCACATCCCAAGATCTATCAGTTCTGCACATGTGGCAGTAGAGGAAAGGGGGTCAGAAGCCCACATTTGGTCACAAGTGCAACTTAAAAGGATGTTTTTAATTTGTCAACAATTTTACATTGTTGTTTTTGTGCTTCAAAATGATTGCTATTTTAAATTATCCCTAAAAACTAGGTCCTGTGCACAAGAGGAATGACCACTCTAGGGACCTTGAAACACAGAAGAAAAGGACAAGTGGGTGAAAGCACCTATTTGAGACCAAGGTAGAAAGATTGTAAGCCTCTGAGCCAGTGTGGGAGCTCCTCCATCCTAAGGCCCCAGATGCAAATGTGGAAGAATCAGAGCATAGAAACAATAGCATTTATCTTGAGGATTCAAACTGGATACATACCAGATACCTGATGGGTGTGATATGTTTTCTTTATCCCCTGAATTGCTCACAGTTTGAAATGTTCATATATGTATACACACATAAAGATACCCATTTATATGTTTGTGTGTATATATAAACACATATATATTTTTAATATACATATTCAGCTTCTAACTTTGAGTGGTGGTTTGGCACCCTTGCTTTTATAAAGTCGGTAGCTATTTTTCATCAGTCATGTGATTGTCTTAGGTCAAAAATATTTGGGGTGCCTTTTGGATGGAGAATTAGATAAACCCTAAGTGCCCCAGGACTCTTTCTGGCATTCATTCCAGAAAGAGGGTCATTTTTTTGCCTTGCAATTTGTTCTTTTTAGCTCATTCTGCAATAAATCATCAGCACGAGCTCACTCCAGAGACCAGAAATTATAAAGTGCTTGATCTCAACTTGCAAGAAAAGATGGTCACCTTTGAGGTATGTCCCTGTGAATTTTACATAATCCTACAAATGGTTTTCAAAAATAATCTGATCTCAATAAGGGATTAGCACCTATAAAACAGGGCTGGTAAACTATGGCCAATGGGCCAGAACTAGTCCAACATCTATTTTTGCCCAAAAAGTTTTATTGGAACACAGCTATGTCTATTTGTTTATGTATTATTTTTGGTGACTTTTATGCTACAATGACAGAATTGAATAACTGTGACAGAGACCATATGGCTGACAAAGCCCAAAGTATTTACTATCTGGCCCTAAACAATAAAAGCAGATACAAAGGACCCAATAGAAAACAAACAGGCAAAGGAAATGAATAGGCAATGTACCGAAGAACACACTGGAACATTCAATAAATGCATGAAAAGATGCAGCTGTAATCAGGGGAATTCAAATTTAAAGTACACTGAGATTGCATTTCATATGCATCAGATCTGCAAATATTTAAGTCTTACAACATCAGGTGTTGGTAGCATATAGAGTAATGGGAATTTTTATTCTCTGCTGCCAGAAGCACAAGTAGGTACCATCACGTTTGAAAGCAATTTGACAACATCCGATAATGGTGAGTGCATATAATCCACCCCTACACACACACACACATGCACACACATACAAAGGAAATGCATATTGGAGAAACTCTTGCAGGTATGAACAAAGGATACAAGAATATTCATGGTAGCGTTGTTAGAAAAAATAGAAATAAGCTTGATATTAACAATAGAATAGATATATACTGAGTACACTCTTTAAACGGAACACTGTATAGTAATAAAAATGAACTCATAATAGCCACATATTTCATAAAGATCACAGGCTGCATGAAAAAAAGCAAGTTGTACAGGAGTACAGAATGATATTATTTATATTTGCAAAACAATGCTATATGTTATTTAGGGATACACACATAAGAAAAGTATGAAAATGCTGAAAATATTCATGGGAATTAACTACAAAGTTTAGGAAAGTAGCTGACTTCTCAGGTGGAAAAAGATTGGAGAGAGATACAAAGGGAGCTTTGAATACATTTGTAACATTTTGTTTCTGTTTGTCTTTAATATTTATTTTAATGTTTGTTTATTTATTTATTTTGAGAGAGAGAATGTGCAAGCAGGGGAGGGGCAGATAGAGAGGGGTACAGAGGATCTGAGATGGGCCCTGTGCTGACAGCAGACAACCTGATGTGGGGCTTGAACTCACGAAGCAGAATGACCTGAGCCAAAGTCAGATGCTTAACCAACTGAGCCACCCAGGTGCCCCATGTAAGATTTTGTTTCTTAAGCTGATTGCTGTGAATTCTGATTTTTGTTCTTTTTGTAAATTAGAAGTAATTCACAAAAAAAATGAAATTCAATCATTATAGCATTATGGGGGAATCCCCACAATCTCCCTGTTTTTATTTCTGTAATGGGGCACCTTCGCCCAGCAGGCAGAGCCTCTATATACCCTTATACAGTCTCCATATTTGGGCAAAAATCAATCAATCAATCAATTAATCAATCAATCAGTATAATATACAATTCTCATTTTAAAGCAGCAAAAGAAAGTGAAATCTTGGCAAGAAAAATTCTGTCATCTTTCCATGTTGTTATAAAAGAGCAATCTTGGGGCGCCTGGGTGGCTCAGTCAGTTGAGTGTCCTACTTCGGCTCAGGTCATAATCTCAGGGTTCGTGAGTTCGAGCCCCGCGTCAGGCTCTGTGCTGACAGCTCAGAGCCTGGAGCCTGCTTCGGATTCTGTGTCTCCCAATCTCTCTGCCCCTAACCCACTCTCATTCTGTCTCTGTCTCTCTCAAAAATAGAAATAAATAAATAAATAAATAAATAAATAAATAAATAAATAAGCGATCTTAAGAGAATCAACTAAAGAAACCAAATTTACAATTTTGCCTCACTTCACTTGCTCTTGAGAGCTGCTAGAAAATAATGGAAATGATTTAGACAATGGGCACCAATTTAGGGAAGGCTCCAAGGGCATCAGACAAGGACACAGGAGCCCAGGTTGTTCTGTGATGATCTTAGGCAGAGTACAATACCAGAGAGCTTCAGATTTCTTATCTATAAAACCAGAGGGTTGTCCATCTGTCTTTACGTTCTCTTTCAGACCCACAATTAGAGGAAATATGTCATTCATAAAATCTTGAAGTCAAGGCATGTTTATATTTATTGACTTTCTAGCATATAAATAAATTTATTGTATATTAGTCGCATGTCCAACTGGGCATTATTTTTTAAAGATAAACTCTCAAATGCAAAGATGATAGCAAGGTTTCATTTTAAACTTCTTAGGTCCGTTATCAATTTATTTCCATTTTCCTTAATTTTACTTAGGTGACATGAATGGTAAACTATAAACTAGTGGCATTTTAAACCCTGCCTTCCTTAAAGTATTCATGAAAAATGTCTCTAATGTAGAGTAAAATAACTTGAAGGCATAGTGGAAAGTAAGAAAGGAGGTGCCCACAAAGCAGAATTTGATGCAAATAATGATTCTATGGGGTCTATTAAGCCACAAAAGTCTACAAGAGAAAGGAATGCTCATAATTACCTGACACCAAAGTTGCTGCTGGCTTCTCAGTGGTAGTCATCTAGCACTCAAATGTTTTCTTGTCTGGAGAAAGTGTCCCGTGTTCAGAAACATCACCTCTTTTGCCCCTTGCAAGATTCCTGGGTTTTAGGATTTTACAGTACGTGAGAAAACAGTCTGAATCGAGATCACCAAAACTTTGTAACGTCGCGGGTTAACCGCTCACATGTAGCCTCCCATACTAACGTGCATATCAACACAGGTATAAAGATCTCAGGTGAAGTGACAGGCTTGTGGGGGTACACCGCTTTAATTCAATACATAGCTAACACTTAACTCTGTCAGATTAAGGGGGGCTTGCTCCCTGCTCTTCAAAATCTTTTTTCCATTTCCACAGCTCCCAAAGTCCTCACCCTTTGGGAACAGTGGAGAGTCATTTGAAACTTAACTGAACGCTGGAGGCAAGTTCTAGTTTTCAGGTCGTCCAATTTAGGAGATCCAGTTTCTGCAGAGGGAAGAAGACGGGTGGGGGAGGGAGAAAAACAGAGTCTACATATTCAGATCCTTCTACCTTCCATTCACGACCTGCCACACACATCTGGCCAAACCAGGGATTTTTGCCTTGAACCACCACCACCACCACCACCACCACCACCACCACCTTGTCACTCACGCCCGATAAACACGCCCCTCTGGTCCTACTCTTGGCCTGTGGCGGCTCCCCTCCTTGCATAATAATGAGCTCGAGACCTCCGCGGGCCAATGGCGCTCCGGGAGAAGGGTTAGTTTTGCATGTACCTAAGTGATTTGCATAACCCAGCGGCTGGGGGCTTGGGAACCCGAGCGTGCAACCCTAGAAGGGAAAAGGACGGGAGGAGATTGAGCCGCGGCGGCGAGAGAGCGAGCAGGAGCCTGGGTGTTTGTACGAGAGCCGGGCGGGGGCTGGGGCGAGGGGCCGGCATGGCTGAAGGCTGCGCTCCGCAACCTTGAAGAGCGGCTGCGGCGGGAGGGCCAGAGGGACAGGGCGGCAATTTGCAGTGTGAAACGCGGCCGCCGCAGCTGCGCGGCCAGGCCAGTGAGATCTGAGCCGCCGGACAGGCTGCCTCTGCACGCTTCCACCATGGAGCAGCGGGGGGGGGGGGGGGGGGGGGGGGGGGGGGAAGGGGCAGGCTCCAGCGCCACGTCCTGCGCTGCTGCCGCGGACTGTTGAAGGGGCCCAGCCCGCGCGACTGCCGAGAGGGGAGAGCCCCCGGCCCAGCCCGCAGGCCGGCCGCCCCAGGGCGGCAACGTCGGAGCAGCGGAGCGCGCCGAACCGCGCCTGGAGACCGGCGCAGGAAGGGCGACGCAGCAATGCCGGGCCCGCTGGGGCTACTCTGCTTCCTCGCCCTGGGGCTGCGCGGCTCGGCCGAGCCCAGCGGCGCGGCGCCGCCTCTCTGCGCGGCGCCCTGCAGCTGCGACGGCGACCGTCGGGTGGACTGCTCCGGGAAGGGGCTGACGGCCGTGCCCGAGGGGCTCAGCGCCTTCACCCAAGCGCTGTGAGTGCCGGGGTCCGGGTGCCGGGGAGGGGGGCAGACGGCTGCTGGGGGGGGGGGGGGGAGCCGGTGTCAATCCCACCCCACCCACCCACCTGGCGTCCCGAGGACTGGGGCGCGGGTCACCTGTGTGTGGGGTGCTGGGCACCCACTCCTGCACGGCGGGCTTTACAAACTGTGCCAGCCCGGGTCCGAGCCGCGAGTGGCTCTTTTTCCCAGACTTTTAGGGCACAGTCACCGCCCCCCCCCTCCCAAGTGCATCTGGGGCCAAGCCGGAGGGTGGAATCTGGAAACGCTTGCCCCTGTCAGCCTTTTCAGGAGACCTTCCCTTCTCACGCGGGGCCCCGCTCAGCTGGCGACAGCTTCGCAACGGGCAGGCTGAGGGCGCCTAGAACTTGGCCTGAGTCTGCAGACCTAGGCACGCTTCGTGGGGGAAACACCTGGAGCCTTCAGGGTTCCAGCATGAGGGGAGAAGACACACCTGTGCCAATGTACAGGGCGAATCCCCTTCCAGTTTGGCCTCATCCAGGTAGAGCGACTTGGCACCTCGGTCCAGTTCCGCTCTGGACTCACCGATTAACGCCCAGGGTTCCGGAGCGCGCGGGGGAACCGGGTAAAAACAAGACAGGAGGAGGGGGAGGAAACTGCAGGTTTCTTTTGGTGAAAATACTCTCCTCACCCAACTAGGCCTTTTAAAGAAGGAATGCTGACCTGAAGTACAGGCTGTTGAAAGAAAATCGAAGTTCCGGAGCATAGAATCTGCCCAACCAGAATGGAAGGCAGCAGTTTTCTCTTGTATCTTTCTTTTGAGCTGCCTGAGGCTGGGAAGGCCACTCAGATGGTTCTGACTTCTAAAATCCCCCCTCCTCAAAGGGGGACCTGAGGCTTTAGACATTCCCTTCAGAAAAGCAGAGGACTCTGAAATAGGTGTTGTAGGTGGTATTGGCAAATACCGCCAATAGAGAAAGAATAGGGTAATTGAATGCAGGGCTTGGTGTGCGCACTGGCTCTTGTGTTGTGTGGCCAGAGTGATTCAATCAAGAGCCATGAAAGAGCTGTTTGAGAAGGACGGGATTCTGAGAGGTCCTTGGGTGAAGGGAATTTCCTTTTACCTTACGACCAAGGAAAAGGAACTCTGAGAAATAAACAATGTTAAAGGAATAACTGACCCTGTGAAGACATCCTTGCTGTGCAGGCCAAAGCATTGCTGTGTTTCCAGGTGGGTTCAGCTTATTGCTGTCTGCCAGTGGGGTTTTATTGAGGATTGCAGTCTGTTGCCTTAAACCTGTCTCATTCTTTGCCTCCAGCTCCCCCTCTTTATTTTTCCTGTGTCACGTGTTCGTTATGTATTTGAAGTCATTTTCCTCCAGTATGGTGGAGCTGAACTTTTCACTGAAAGAAATTAATTTTGCAGTGAAGAGCGGTGTGCCCACAAACAGGTACATTACACCGGCAGGTTTGCGTGGGACCCGGGAGCAGTGAGGGAAAGAAGATTGAGTAGAGGAGATAGGGCTGGTTTTCTTGTTTTTTTTTTTTTTGTTTTTTTGTTTTTTGTTTTTTTCCTGTTCTCGTGAAACTTAGGGAATTCATGCAGCAGAGATTCCTTACCTGAAACCTCTCAAGCCCCTCTATTCATAGAAAGCCATGTTTTTACTATTTTGACCAGTTGTAAAGACCTTGTTTAGCAGATTTCCCCAGTTTTGATGGGTAGACTTGTCCCATAAGGAGAGGGACTGTTTTACATTAGTGCATAAAACCACAAAGAAATGTTACATTTTTAAGAGAGCACACTGCTGTGTAGAGCATCTTCCTTTAGAACTCACTGGAGGTGGTGAAATGCTCTCTTCTCGACGTGGAGCCTTTACAGAACTTACTGTTCAAGGCATGGGAAACAAAAATCATTGGCACCTGTCCCCATTAGATCGTCTAAACTAGCACCATCATGGCACTTCCTGAGCTGCTGTGGTGAGCAAATGTGTAACATTTTCCTCTTCCACTTGTGACCTATAGCCAGAGTATACAGATAACTCCTTATTTCATTCCCAGTACTCATCATTTCATCCTCAAAAGTATATGTTATGTGAGTACCCCATTTATAGGGCATTTCAAGGGCAGTGTGTTTGCATTTTGGGAAACCAGCTAGTCCAAGTGAATCTCAAAGGCCATGTTGAGCATGGACAGGTGCTGTCGGTTTGCACACTCCAATTGATTTGCGATCACCTGGGGTCTTTTCCCAAGTATGTCTGATCTGTTGTCCCACTGTAGCTTTAGTGAGCCACACGCACCAGGGGATTAGATCCATGGTCCCAAACTTTTGTTTACCTATTCCTAATTTCTGGAGCATGTACACCCATAAAATTACACAGATACAAGTTAAAAAGATGAGAAAGATTGATTAATCAGAGTGATTTTATTTTCTTCTCCTGGCTCAATGGTGTAACATCCTCCCCTCTGCCGGGGGGAATGAATGCATCCCACGTTGGAGACCCTGGGCTGACAAAGAGCAGAGCTTTTATTTTACTCGGCTTGGAGTCCACAGAGCCTGGTACACAGCAGGCACCTAAAAAGGTTGCAGTGATTAGAGAGGAACTTAACGCCACACTGAGGGAAGAGTCGGGGCTTGGGATTCAGACATCATTCCCACACAAGATTGCCAAATTCAGCATTCTCAGCATTTAGTCTTTTGTCCAGATTTGAGGAGGCCCCAGAGAGAGGATACCTGCGTCTTCTCCTTCAGGCTCGTTTAAACTTGTTCAGTCCAACAGTGTCTATTTCCTGCTGAAAGCTGCTTTATCCGAGTCTGGGGGCAGAGTCAGACATAATCTCAGTATTGTTGATGGGATTCCTGTGTTCACACTATTTGCTGCACCTGTAGTGATTATTTATGTTTTGCAATAGCAGTTCTCAATCCTGTGTCACAATGCACTGGCTTGTCACAATTCACCCCGCGGTGTTTTGAGGGAAGTAACCTTACTAGTATTAAAATTCCAAAGTTTATTTTATCAGAGGGATTCAAGGCTATTCCTATATTAATGGTAATAGGTCACTCTGAATCACCTACACTCCCAGAATCTAGACTGTGGGGAGAGAGGGATGAAATCACAGAGGTGATGGGGAGGGGTTTGCATATGTGTGTCCTCTGGTTTATGTGTGGTTACCTTGACGTCTGGAAGCCGTAGAACCAGAGCATAGGTTTCCACATCCTAGATTATGTCTGGTGACCAGTTTTAAGACCACACAGGCTGTTTGCGTGGCTTTGATCCCTTGGTTCGTCCTTACCATGCCACTAAATATTATGTGGCCTTGGGCAAGTCATTCTCCCTTCTTTTCTTTTCTTTTTTATTTAGTAACCATTTCCTCATCTGAAAACATGAAATAATTGGATTCACTAGATTACATCTAAGGCTGCTTGTAGCTCCCAGAAGTTCTAATTTATAATTCTCACATAATTTTAGGATGGCAAGCTGTCGATAATGTTATGATCCTCTCATAAAAGATCCCAGGAGCAGCAGGATTTTGTTCTATGTGAAGTTGCTCAAGCCTCTTCATTACCACTCACTTGGAGGAGGAGTTCTTTGTGTTTAGAAGTGTGTGTTAGGAAATTTGCCATGGAGACTTGCTGCAGAATGCATGACTGGCTAAGGCGCTTTGCTAGGGTAGAATAGCCTTGCTTGTTTCCTGTGGGTATGGCTTAACACTTGGAAAATAAAATCATTCTGTTTCAGTAATTTGGATACTGTACAAAAAGTTACTCAACGTCCTCACTTCCATATAATTAGTCATAATCTCTCCAACCTTCCCAGTGTGTGTACCCTGTACGTTGGGCAGGTTATCGAGCTTTCTGTACAGAATTCATGGTTACCGGAGAGGCTTTGAAGTGTTTTTAAAAATAACCTGTTGCTTTTTTTTCTGTTGGAAGCATCATCTCAGATTCTTCCTTAAGATGTGCTTTTTTTTTTCACTATGTGCTTTTTTTTTTTTTTTTTTTTTTTTTTCACTACATCAAATACGTTTCTTCTTTTAATAGTATCACTTGAAAGTATTTTCTTATGCTTCCTCCGATGTCTACTGTATTCTCAGGCAGGTCAGTCATTAGTGGTAAATATTTGTATCTTTCTTGATGGTAGAGTTTTGATATCCCTCGATACCTGAATTATTTTAATGTTAGTTTGTGTGGTGGGTCTTTCTAGAGATGTATTATTATCTCGTACAATTGAACTTTCTGCTAAATGAGGCCAACACATGAACATCTTTAAGTATAGATCCTTTATTTTTACAAACTAATGAACTACTGGGTTCTCTTTAAATACAAGAGAAGAAAGAGCATTCTGCTGGGCATATGGAGAGCCATTTCCAGACCTGCCCGCAAATCACACAAGTGACCTTGAGCTCGTGACATGCTTAACCCCTCAGGGCCTTGGTTTCTTCACCTGTAGAACAAGAAAATAAACAGCTCTTAACTGCCAAGAGTTTTCTTTCTCTTGAATTTGATTGTTATTCTTTATACATTTCTTGCATCCTGTCTGTTAAGGGAAGTGTATGGTCTAAATCATGGAATCTCTCACCCACCCAGGAAGCTTCTGCATTTGTCCCAACTCTCCTGGCATATTTCCATTGAATGGGGAACTCACTGCCTTCTGGAGGCAACAATGTGCTGGGTGTGGTCTGAACAATACCTAGGACTTGAACGCTAATTCTCATTGGGAGCCCCTAAAGGTTTTGCAGTAACCACTAATGTTTTATGATTTCTAGCCGAACCAAATGCTAGTGACAGTTATGGTATCAAGCATTTAAAGTCCAGGCACTTGGCTCTCAACATTAGAATTGTAAGGTAACATTTGACAACTTAATCTCTTAGGGAAGATCAAAGTTTTGTACTGGTAGGTGGATCCAGGCAAGTTTAGGCATTTTCTTGGCCTCTGTCAGTTATCTCTCAAATTCTTATTTTAGTCATCTTTATAATAGCAAAAGTACTGACAGCCTGCAAGTTTGGAGTTTGGTTT